TATACCTCTACCCATTGAATTGTGTACCCCATGTTGTTAACAACGGTCTACGTTTCTAATTAGTTTAAACAATAATGTACGGGCACAGGTATTGAAATATAAGTACATCGTTAAACTTTATACCTTTAATACCGTTTCACCACGTTTAACAACGTTATACCAAACCTGCACATCGCTGTTAACGATTTGTATTTACACGTAGGTATTAATTATTATGGGCTTACCGCGTCTTTGGTTAATTAATTAAGACAACCGTTTTAGAATTTTATACTTAAAGTTATACTTTTTGGTCTTATTCTGACATTCCACAACATAAATTCTTTCTTCATAAGTACCTACCTACATTATTTAAAAATCTATTTACTTAACCGTGGTAGGTAATGGTTCATAATTTTTCATTTTTGTATTTTAAGTAATGAATTATTCTACTTGAACTCACCCCCGCAGCGTATAAGCATATTTAAATTAAAACCAAAAATAATAATAATAATACGAAATAATGGAATTAATGAGAATTAAATGGATACAAATGGCTATGTTTAGCGTTTAGTTATAATATATATTGGTACATAGATCAATAACCTTGTGTTGTTATGAGGATCTAAATATCTAATATTAATAGGAAATATACAATATACATCATACTACAATGTCCAATTTCAATATTGCAATATTAATCGAAAGTCCAGAAAGTTCAGTTTTATAATTTTATCATACTGCGTTGTTATTATTATTTTGGGCCTTAGTGATTATTTTGTGTTGATAGATATTCAATCATTGGATATGATGAAAGAATATACCTAGAAATCAGTGGTACCTCGTCATGACAAGTATCTAAAAACTGGTGGAAACTTAATGTATTTATCACCAAAAGAACTTACTTTCTAGAATTACTTCGTCGTATATTACATTTCATAAAATTTTTAAATATTATTAATTAACCTTTGGCAACATGGACTATTTAGTGATTTTTTAGTATCGTTTGAACTGTGAGGAGAGTAAGGTTGGTTTGGAATACGTGTTTTTTTTCGGTGATTTATCTTTATGAATTCTTTAGTTAAGTTTTAATTTTAATAAAAATATGGTAACATTTGATTTATCAATCTTAAAGTTAAAACTGAATTTTAGTTTCCTCGTTCTTTAGTTTTAAAAGAAAGTAGTTCTAAGCTTTATTTCTAAAAAAATTAAATAGTTATCTGATTTTTTTTAATTGGACCAACACTCACTGCAGCTATTAATTTGAAACTGAACACTTAAGTATGTGAAATATTTTTATTCGTATACGTCTATATTATTATCATTCCATTTTTATAAATATTAAATTTAACCAACTTAATAATTATTTTATTACTTTATGAAAGCACCAGAAATTTTAATAATTGTATAAATTCTAGTCAAAATAATAAATAAATTAAATAATATCGTAGTGTAGATCTGTATTAAAAAGTTATTTTATTTGTAAGAATAAGATTTAAATAAAACATAAAAATAATAAACTTACATTATATAGGTACTATACCATCCATACCACAATACTGTACCTACCATTTATTATAATAAGTAATATAATGATAAATTTCATATTCCATAATTTATATTAATTTAAAATTTGATGTAAACATTTAGTTAATTAAATTATTGGAAAACATTTTGTTTAATGTGAAATGATTACAAAATTGGGTCAGCAACTATTTTTAATGTTTATTAATTTGAAGACAGTGCATTTGAAAGATGATTTTGACGCAATTTACTAAACATATTCTTTTAAATAAAATAACTTAAATGCGTAATGATATATTAATATGCGTATGTTCGTCGTTTTTTTTTTACAAAAACAACGGAGAAATTAAAAATAAAATATTATGTTTGGTTTTTATCTAAACATGAACTAATATAGTAATATGAGTGCCTACAAAAATAATTATAATAAAACTATTAATTTTAATTAATCTTCTTGTTAATTTAAACTATGATACTGAAATCAACTTTTTGAGTTTCTGCACTGGGTCAATAACCGTTTTGAAATAAATAATGATAGGGAGATCAATATTATTTCCATTAACAAGATATACTCCGAAAGAAAGTAGAACGAAGATAAGCGACTACTTATACTTAATCCACAACAACAGGTCAATATCGCCATCAATTCGATAAAATATAATTTCTCTTCAACTTTAAAATACCTACCTAGGTACATAATACTGTAATAGTACCAATATATAATACAATTCAGTATTTAAAAAATTAAAACTTGATTTCGGGCCCCTTCTTTGTTTATCTGGATTGGTGAAATTGTGTGGCGAATACACTATATTTTGAGCAGGTTGTTTTTCGTGAAAAGCAACAGTTGCGTTTATCAAGAGTTTTTGTGTTTACCATAAGACGCATACAATTAGCATTCAAACCGTGAACAATCTTTATAAGAAACACAAATTTATCATGAAAATGATTGATCTTGTTTTGGTTTTTTATTGAGACGAACATTAGAGCCAGAAGTGTTTGGAGGATGTCGGGAGCGAAAAAATTTTCTACGCCATCATGAACCACTGCACAAAGTTGTTTTATACACCAAAAATATTCATACAGGATCTGTACTTACAACAATAATCAATGATAATAGTTCACGTGATAATAACTGAGAACTGCCAGCATTGTTTTTTCTATAATATATACGCTCACCGTTATCGTGACGTCACTGTTGTGTGGAGCCAATGAAGAATACCATTGCAGAAGTATAGGTACATGAACCGGGTGCCAAAATCATGTTAACAAAGGAGGAAAAAAAGGAAAACAACAATAATTTATGATAGTAAAAAAACTCATATCGAGTTGTCCATAATAATATTATTATGAAATCATTACTTTATTCTCTTTCAAAACAGTGCACATTGTGCTTCGCGTGTAAGTCGGGTAAATACAGCGTATCTTACCCGCCACACTAATTTTTCTCAGTCGATAGAGAAAAAATAGTCTAAAGAACTTTCGTGAAGCCGCGTTTTTGTTAAAAAATTAATGTTTTGAACAGTAACAGATACTATTGACGGGTCGACGTATTAAATTATACATCGAATGTTTAACGAATAATTTTTAACTGGTAAAGTTCACAGTGAAATAACCACGCGAGACCACACATCATGCAATTTGCAATATAATGTGTACTCCGCTAGTATATAATTTAAGCTTTGAACCGCGGTTATAAAAAATTATTGGATTGTTTTTCTATAATGTTCCACGGTATAAACTCATTATCATAACTTATGTATACTTCACTATACTTCGTACCGTATAGGTGCCATATTGATGCCTATAATATAGTATGAACGGTATTTTTTTTAAATCACAACAGAGAAAATTAGCGTGCACTAAGTTTAAACGGATCACTCTGTATATAGCCCACACCGTGTACTAAGACCGGGGTATATGGACGTAGATTTGCGTTCTGAAACCGTCACTTTGACATAATATCATAGTATATATATATATATATATATATAAGACTGCAGCTCTAATGGACCGCAGCCAAACGGAGCGCAAACAATGGCTGGTCGATTTTTTTCCAATTGGAAATTTTTCGCCGCACATTTAATGAAGATGCAAGGCTGGGCCGTGACTACGGCGGTCAATTATGCACGCGACCATCGACGTCGATGCACATAATTTTGTGCCATATTATCGTATATAATGTAGTTAATGTCGCGTTATCATTTTATTATTATTACTATTATTATTGTTATTATTACCTTTGTGCCTATTGGGTGACTGCCGTTGTAAACGCGTGGAGTGTAACTTGTGTGTGGAAAAAAAATATTTAGTGTCCCGACTCGTGTTTGCAGATAACTGGTGTAATAATTTGCAACAGGTCCTCGTATAAACTAAATTGTTTTAAATTGATTTAGTTTATAAATTTATTTAAATTCAAAACACATTACCATCATAATACTATAATACCTTTTAAATATTTAAAAAGGTTAACTTAATTTTCCCGGTACAAATATCATAAATTATAGGGCTCCGAACTTGATGACCAAAAAATCTTTGAAAAAAATTTTAAAATTACATAAAAATAGTAAAATATAGTACTAAATAATTGAGTCTATAGTAAAACAATACTATCAAAACTGTTGAAGGTGTCAGCATAAATCGTGTAGTATAATGTTGAGATTGTATGTAGGTACTATAACTGTAGGTAATAATTCAATATAAACATTGTAAATAATTCATTTAGACACAATATATTCAAGTACTCATACCATTAAATAATACTGTAAACCAATAATGGTATTAATTTGACTGAACGTAGCTGGAAAACAATTCATATCCGTTGATTAACAGATAAACTGACTTTGTGTCGGTCAGACAAGTGCAACTTCCATTTTATTTGGCAATATAATATATATAGTATATACTTTTTAAAATGGATACAATACATAATATGATTCATCGATATACCTCTACCTATTTAATAGGGCAATAGACGAACCAAAAGTATAGGTAATACTATCTGTTATAATGATTTTTTTTAATTGAGTAGAATCTACTCAGTAGATCATATTATTAATATGGTGAATAAATACTATGTTTTGATATTACGCTTAAAAGGCTATATTAAACACTGTTGTACTCGGAAGACGAGTTCAATCAAAATTAAATTTATTAGAGCGTACTAAAAAAAATGCACTTTAAAAATGTTTGTAGTTGGTAAATTATAAAAATTACAAATGTTGTGAGGACAACATAGTAAAGGAACAACGTTTTCTAAATTGTTAAACAAATACACATTTTGGAATACTTCATAGCTTATATCAATAAAATTTATTTATTTTCAAGAACATTTTATTTTCATTTCAAATATCACCTATTTTCATGAAATAAATAAACTCATTTTACGTGTTCTGATGTTTTAATAATAAATTATATTATTGGTCCTAAAACTTTTTATACATTAAATTTCTTATATTGTGACTTCTATTTTTTACTTACTATGTGATGTTCATTTTTAGCTTGGGCTTACGTTTAATGATGGGTGAATTTCCGGTCGAAAGAGCACTGGAGCATCTGATCAAGGAATCGGCCCATGGATGGCGAAGATTGAACTGTGATCGGCTTTTCCCCAGGTAAAAAATTATTAGTAATAACTACGTTTGATATAATTTTAAAATTTCTATTTATTTTAGAATAATCTTATTTGCTTAGAACAAATAGAAAATGTTGGGTATATAACAGTTAATTTAATCTAATATTTTATATTTGAGGAAATAAAACCCAAGAACATAGTTATCCTATTGTCAAAATGGTCATTGTAGTCTATAGCCTATGATTTAGGTAGTTAGGTCTGTAAGTAGGTTAAGTTGGTTAAACAGAGATGACAGAAAATCAAATACATGCGGATTAACGCGATAGGGGGAGTAAGAGAGATAAAAATAAAAATTTCACTATAAGGCAGATCCGCAGTTTAATGTCAGATTTGGTAGTTACCTATATACACTCCGATGATTTTAACAAAATTCTATAGTTAATTATGACGCTTGGGCTATTATAAAAGGATAAATATGTCGTTCTGGTTAACGATACGAATAGATTTGCACGCTTGAATGATCACAAATTGTTATGTTAATGGGTGTGTACGTGGTTGGCACATTAAAATAACTCTGACCACCAATTTAAATTCCATGAGGACTTAATTCAAGAAAATAATTCCATACGCTTCTTTGAACATTATGTTATAAATAAATGATTCAAATTTTTAGTTTAAATCGACTAACACTAAAAAATATGTAAAATTACATCTAGATCTAGATACTTCGTATTTACATATAAAAAGAAGGAATTGAAAAAATAAACTAAATTTTCCACTTCCCAGAAATAATACTATGCTGATTATATATTATTGATTTATTGCACAGAATAATAACATTATTGTTATGTAAATATAATTTATTTATACTTCCTATTAAATTCAGTGTTATTTTTAAAATGTTAACATTCATAATTGTTTAACAATCAAGTGCAATAGTTAAACAAAGAGATAAATATGGATGAATTTAATGTTTTTTTTATGAAAAATTACACACTGGGATCTGAGATATATACATATATAAAAAATGGTAGGTCATAGTTATTATTAAAATACGAGTAGTTTAATGATATTACGAAAGTATATTATCTAATAAATTCTTTTAAACATACATTTTGAGTAACAAAAAGTGAAAATTTGTGTGAATATAGGTACTATAATAATACCTATACAAGAAAAGCAATTTTAATACGCTTTTAGCTTATAATAAAATACATTAAATATCGGACGTGTTATGTGTCATAGGCCAATATTACTTAATAGTTTATTTCTCTTTACTAAAGTAAGGTATTTACTAACTAATTACCTACTTACTTATCATAATCAATTATTTTGGAACCTAACTTCAAATCTATTTATTTATTTTTAATTCATTGGCATGTTCTACTCTTTGTATTTGCAACATTTTAATAGGAACCCATGATATTTTGCTTTAACTCGCATATTGCATGATATGTTTAATGTTCATTGTACATATATATTTCACATCGAGTCTTATAAATCGCATCAGTCGTTATCTTAAAAAAAGCAAATATAAAAATAATTATATTGCATGTTGCTTCAGTGGAAAAAAATCGAAACTCAAATATTATGTGTCCAAATTGAAAATTAAACGATGGCCATATACTGTAATACTGTTTACTGCTGTATAAGTGTTATTTTTGGATTCGCATTTTCAACAGTACAACTACACCATCCAATGTCATTTGCCATTTGTGGTCCACCACACTTTCACTCCGGTTCATTGATGACCATCTCTCGTTAGCGCATCAATTAACCGACCTTATTCCAGTGGTCACGAGCCTTCTATACATGAATGTGGTCGATTTATATAATACAATGTACATACAATTAATGTTGGTAAAATGAACCGGAATAATAAGGCGGCAACAATATTTATGTAGAATAAATACAAAAAACCTAGTGCATAGAAAAATTAGTGATTGTTTACATAATTATTATGATATTTAAAGTGGTTTCCATTCAGTGGAGAAAGCTGAATATGTCAGACCACTAAGCACGATCGATATTATCAAATTATAATAAAATATTAGTATGACGTGTTCTTTCCCACTAATAGTAAACATTTAAAATTTATAACCGTTCGATACCGATACAATGAGATTTAAAATATTTTTGTGAGAAGAATGTATTTCGGCCAAATGTCGTTTTTGGCTTATTGCAGTGCGTAACCGATTGTAATTATTTCATCAAATATTTAACGGTGTGGGTTACTACTACTGTCTGTAGTATACATACGACATACACAACAATGAATATCATTTCTGTTTGAGCAATATTAAAATAAATTATAACCATAATTAATAATCAACACTTATATAGCCAATACAAAAATATAAATGAAACTAAAAATATGCGGTGAATAATACTCGTATGTGTTGTACAATCTTTAAATATTCACACTTTTATATTATCAATATTACCAACTCTGGTTTTTGATTAAATATTTTGTATGATCTTTTATTATTTTGTTTCTTGTTAAGGATGTCATTAGATATTCTTATTGACTATTAAAATTTGGTCTAAATTGGAGCTTATTAAAATTATCTTTTAAATACGAGAAAACATTTAATACCTATTATGAAATAAAAATAGTCCAAAGAAATATTATCTACATACATAATTGAACTATGTCTCTTTTTGATATTTCGTAATAATTAAAAAAATGTTTGTACTTTCTAATTGAGTTTTATTGTTGTCATTTGAATCTTAAGTGTTTTTACAAAACACCAATTGTATTGTGTTTTCCCTTTGAATTATGTGGTCCGTCGTTTCATTACCAGTTTTAAATTGTTTACTTCCGGATCAAAAGTGAAATCATCTTGTGATGAACGATATAATATTATATATTTTTATGGAATTCACTAATGTTAAAAACATATCATTTCATTTTCATTTCAAAATCAAACACAAGTAGGCACGTTTCGCTTTCTGCGCTTAATTATTATTATCAATCGCTGGAAATGTATTAATTCCCCTCCGTTTAGTGGCTTACGAGAGTTTATTACTCATAATGATACGGTATCGTATACTGAAAAGGAACCGCGATTATCATTATCCGCGGAGTGTTTAAACGTGCAGATATTCATGCTGCAGTACTTGCACTGCCCCCGGTCAGGCTTAACGGTTGTTCGATTGTGGGTGTCAGGTTCAATAATATTATTAAATTGGGAATGCGCCGACCTTGCTGTTTCGAGATCAGTAGCACGACAATGTCCGTATTTCGTTATGCGTTTTGAAAATAAATAAATAGGTACCTATGTTTAAGGTCAGTGTCCTCAGACTTGAATAATATCATTATGCCTGTGATCCATTTGACGTAACACACTCATTATATCGTATACGATTAACGTTTTTTAAAAAAATTTTTACTAATTTTAAATCGCCATAATACAACATTTTTTTATTATTCTTTTTTGAGTTTTGCTTTTTTTTAGTGGAAATATGCGTTTGTTATCCCTTATTCTAAAGCGGAATATTTTTTGGAGTACTTTGATGTATACAAATTGAATTTTGCATGAGAAGATTATGAATTATATCATATATGTATCTAAAGTTTAGGTGAACGGAATGGACTATTACAGGGTTTACCCGAAAAATGTTGGTTCACTACTCCTATCTACTAAACTTTAAATACCTACCTATTTATAAACAATTAACTATGATTGTTCAAAATTCAATTCAAGAAAATCAAAATACCGAATAACATTCTGCTTCGGGATATGAAATTAGAAATGTATGTATTGTGGTTCAAAACAGTAAAAACTTAAATAGTTATAACGATAAAAATTAGATTTTTTTCTAAAAATGTTGTTTTTGTAACGACTTAAAATTATGTAAATTAAATATTTTTTAAAAACGTTATTGTTTTCAGAAAAAAAGAAGTGTCTCACAATAAATAGATCACCTTATATGCATTATATTATCGTGAGAATTATGGGTATTTTATATTACATTATATTGTAACTGTATACCGTTTGGTATGTAGGTATTCGTATAGAGTTGTAAGTACAAAGGTAGGTACGTACGTAAAAAGAGAAATAAAAGACAAATACGAATACTAACTACTAACAACATAATAATAATATTATGTAGGAAACGACACACGTCTAAAACTGAAAATAAATAACGTTTTTCAATCAAGTCTGGTCAATCGGGATCTATTGTATAGTTGTGGGAAACAACACAAAAGACGAAATATTGGCCATCGTGTCAGTAGGCAATAGTATAGGTAGGTAATTACTATTATGGTTTGAGTGACAAATAACTGACACGCTAGCACTGTTCGTTTTCCCGGTAATAGCATGTGGTATGGGTATAAGCGTATAGCTACCAATAAATAAATTATAGTCAATGGTGACCAACTACATGGTCAAGACATTTTGGGTTAAACGAAATAATATTATGTATGCGTAATATATTAAACACTGTTATGGCGTTCTCATAAAATTTTCGGAGAAAAAGTATCCGGTTTTTATACGAGTACTAAGCAGCAGCCACCTGTAGAATAAAATATGTCCAAAAATAAAAATACAAAAATTCAAACTAACAACGATTTAGACTTGTAATTGATTGTAATTAAGTACCTCCTACTGAGGTAGGTCAGCAGCTTCTCACTTGATTTCCAGTATTGAATATTACTAAAATGCGTTCATATAATATTAATCCCGCATGGCTGCATTCCTGCGATTCCTATAATAATAATATTATCAAAGAACACAGTGCGATCTTCAATAATTACATTGCCCCGCACCGGTTTAGTCATAGGTTTATTATGAAAACAGTGTACGTATGTATAAAGGCAATACCATATGTCCGTATACCCATTACCATATCCATTATCATACACATTATGCATACACTAGTCGTGTATCCATAACGAGATTCTTTATATAGAAATGACAAGAAAGAGATTTTTATTCAAATGTCACAAACGTGAATCAGACGTAATTTCTTGTTACATAAAATACATTGTTTTTTTCATTTGTTTTTTTTTGCATTTAATTTTTGAGTTTCAAC